CAAACTGTGATAGGCTCCTAATCTGCCCTGCAAGGACTGCCTGTGCATATGCAGGGTATGTGGGGTCGAGGGGGAGGGTGTCCCAACAGCCCCCTGCTGCTGTTGGCTGGGCTTGATGGATCCCATAGTTGCTAGATGGTAGAAGGGAATAAATAGGCTTGCTAAAGTATCTCGAAATCTGGAGCTGAAATCATATTCTTTAAATTCAAAGCAGGAATATTCATATCATGAAAACATCACTATTTACACACGTAAAGAAGTAAAACAAGGAGTTATTATAAATACATTTTGGTCCAGGATGGAAAAAACAAGTAGCCATGGGGGAGGGTTGGTTTGTTTTGGAGTGTGGATTTTTTTGGTACGAAGACACTATGGAGTCTTTTCCTTAGACAGGCCAGGAAATTATTCTCACTGAAGATTATTAAAGTATTAGCCAGATTGTCATGCCAACTGTCAGGCCTGCAACAGGTATAGGTGATCCTACTTGACTGTAAAAATTCTCTTCCAGCCCTGTTATTCTAAGCTGTTTTCATTATTTTAGTAATCAGTTGTTTTTCCTGAAATGATTAAATTGAAGAACATATATGTTATGGTATATACAACAACATAAATAGACAATAACTATATTAAGAATATACACATAGAAAGGAGTATTTTGAAGAATACACTCCTGTTTCAGAGTCCCAGAATGTTTCTCTTTTTTTCTTTTTTTCTGCTATCCCAGTGTGTGCCTATTGAACTCAAATTCTGAAAAAAATGGAGACATTACTATATTAAACATAGACCTGTGAAGATGGTACTGAAAAAGCAAAACTGGAACTAGAGCAATGCACATCCATGAACCAAAGTCGCTGCATTCTGATTAAATCTGTGTCAGCCTACTTGCAAATATTCATATTCACCGGTCCTATGGACAGTTTATGGTCTCTAATGACTTTAGCTAGCAGAATTGGCACTAGGGATATTTATACCATCTAATGCCAGGCATGCATTTGAAGCCTAAGCCAGTAGCACAGTGTCCCAGGCCTCCTGCCTGCCACGAGAGTGAGCTCTGCTCCCTCCAAGGGGGCTTCACCTCTTTTCCACAGGCAGCCCAAGGACATGGCTTGGGGCTGGCACCTGCCTGAAAGTAAAGAGTACTAATACTCCCTCGATTCCTGGCAGGAGGAAACGACAGCTGCCCACCCTACAGTGCCCACTCTTGCTGGTCCCTGGCACACTGCAGCAGTAGTCATGCAAGCAGCAGCTTTCCATCAAGAACTGAGTTTTGACACAAGCACAGAGGGTGCACCACAAGGCTCTGCGAGCATCAAGGGGCTGCTCAAATTTGCTAGAGTCAACAGAAACACAGTGTCAATCAAAAGCCTCTGAGGCCTTAAATAAACTGTTTTAAAGATTCTGCTGAAAAATCTGAGACCATAGCATACCATCTTCCCTGGGCTTGGAATGGCATCTGAAAGTGGTGGGCCTTGGCAGCAGGGCACTTTATATAAATTAATACATTAAAGTTAAGGGGACTAAGTAAAGTATGAAAGTTCAGCTTGGCTTTGTTGTTTTACGGCACTTTTGCTAGCAGCTTACTTCTGACTTCACACACTAGATAACAATTTATTCCAGATTCCCTGGCAGGTACCCCAGTCCCAGTTGATGCCGCGGCACCCTCAAAGCTCCAGTGAGCCCTTTCCTGCCCTGCACGGCACAGTCCTGTGGGCAATCCTCATGCACAAAAACTTGCAGCCTTGGCACAGACTATCAGCCAGCAAGCTACCGCTGGAAGTACTTCTTGAAGTAGTCTACAAGCAAGGGCTCTGAAGACAAGTCACAGTGATGCACCATAAAGAAAGGAAGGGACTGGGCTGACTGTTTATTTTCATGGATTATTTTATGCCTCCATGAGAAACAGTCATGAACAGAGTGAACCGGAACCGTGCAGCTGTGTTCCCCCATTCTGCTCCTGTGAGGGACATGCATTTCATATACCTGGTCCCTATGGGTGTCAGCAGGATAGGACCTAGGAGCTGGAGTGTCTATATGTTACCGTATTAATCTTAGCATTATACTCATTTGCCTACATTAATTTTTTAGGCTCCTGGCACAAACAACCTGTGCACAGCTGGCTACATAAACGCTCAAGTTGGCCACGAGCATCAAGGCATGATCTGTTCTTCTCAACAAAATACTCTCCTAATCTGTATTGAATGGAATAACACTTTTACATTTAACTTGACTCTAAAAAATAAATAAAGACAAGAGTATGAACTCGGCAGTGTCTTGTCCTGCCACAAATGAAATGGGCAATCCCAAACAGCCAGCTTTGGCTTAAAGAACTCGATACCGCATCTGGCAAAATAAGATGACAAAACACCTGCTCCTGTCCTGACACTAATGAAACCTTAAACAACATCTGAACCAGTGCACGATGCCTAAAAGGCTGAGCAGTAATCTTTTGAACTAGTAAATATGCTTGAAACCTCATTTGGGTATACCGCAACTGAGAGGATTCAAGAGAGTCATGTGTAATGTGCCCTCTGACACAAAAATGGACAACTTCCCCAAAGTCATACTTCTGAGGAGCCCAGAATTGTCACCAAAAAGTGGATTTTTGAAACTTTATAGCTGCCCTTGAAGGCAGCACTATCTTGGTGGCTTTGAGGAGACTAGAGTTTAATTCTGTGTGAACAGATAAACAAGGCTCTGGAAAGAGACAAACTGGTAGTCCTGACCCAGATTTTATGCTCAGTGGTGGCTTTATTCCTCTTTAATTTGGACATAATAAATATCCATCTTTTTATTTAATGCTGGTTAAAATGGATCGATTCCATAGTAACTGTTACTAGAAAAGAGCACATGAATGATGTGGACCTCTAATCATATTTGTATTTCTGTCAAAAATGGTAGTGTCAATGAATAAAAAGGGCTTGAGCAAGTCACCAGTTTTACGTTAGAAAGATTCAAGCAAGTGATGAAGTCGATGGTTTAGTAAGCCAGGTGTGTGGAGTGAGGTGAGTTTGTTAATATGTAAATAAATTTGCACACCTTATATATGGGGTATTAAATGGTACACAGCAGTGTACCTGCTGTGGTAACCACAGTGGGTGAAAATGCTGCAATAAGATGTGGAGCTCTTTACATTTGTGCCCTCTGTAAAATGACTTCTCTTACCTAGGATGATCTTGGAGTTATCATTGGGGAAGTAAGGAACAGCCTGGAGGTTGGCCCAGGTGGCAATAAGAGCCTGAGGAAGAGTCATCAGCTTATTGCTAGACAGGTCCAGGTATGTGATATTTTTGACATAACGAGCAGCATCTGGAGGGATTGAGGTAAGTTCGTTGTTGTGTAAATCCAGAAGCCTTAGCTGTGGCATGTCAGCCAGGGTTTCCCAGGGGAATGATATTAAGTCATTCCCATCCAGCCTCAGCTCCTGCAAGCGACGAAGGCCCTTGAAGGTGATCCCACTTAGGCTGGCCAGGGAGTTATAGGGCATCCAGAGGTACTCCAGGTTGTGGAGGGCGTGGAAAGCCTCTCCTGGCACCCTGCGGATGGCTGTCTTTTCTATCCGAAGCTTAGATGTATCTACAGGGATGTTCACGGGAGTGAGGGTCATCTCTGGGTCATTACACAGCACTGTCCTGGTGGGGAAAACATAAACACAAATGTGACTTTCTTGTATTTTGAAAAGATTTTGAAACTTTATTTTGATGCAAAATTTTGGTCAGCCTTTCTTTTTTCACAAGATTTCTTCTTATCATTTCTTACTTGCTGTTGATCTCTACATCATCACCATAAGTACATCAACTTGCAGTAATTCATATGTATCTTTTGACTTCAGAAATTGCAGTGTTCTGCCTCTCCTGGAGTGGCATGAATCTGAGTCTGGCCCATATAGTGTTCCTGCTTTTTTTCTTTCAAATTTTTTTAGAGTACTTATGATAGACAGTAGTGACAACATTCATGCACAACAGAGGATTCTAGTGCATGTTAAAACAAAAGGATCCATAAATTGAACAATAAAAGACATAGGAAAAGGAGCCTTACTGACGTGTGGGATGGCAGGAAGTAATAGAGATTAAATACGGCACAGGCTCTTTGGTTCGTGAAATGAGGATAAGAAAGTCAGCTAGCAACTCACTGGAAATACACTACAGCAAGCTCTGCTGTACTATGAAATAGCCTGGAAGGTGCGTACAGATGGTAGCAGTCACTGCACCACAGCCACATACAGTTATGAGAGTCAAAGTGCAGAAAATCAACTCTTTGGAAAATGTTATACTAAAAGCAAGGCAGATTTATGTGTCTTGATCGTTCCTTCCCATTTTTAATCCCTAGAGGTGGAATAATGAAAACCCTATGCTGCATTTTCACAGCCCTCCCACAAAAAATTGTGACTTTGACTTTGCCAAGATGTGGGATTGTAGATAAGCCTTGAGGAATGAAGGGAGACAAAATAGGTCTCTCAAACTGCACTTTAATTTGCCTATCCACAAGGAGAGAAAGACAAGTTCCTAACAAAATACAAAGCCACCTTGCAAAAGATAACAGGTTAGATAGGCATGTCCCACTCCACATGCTAAACAAGATACCGCAAGAAATGTAATGTGATCAGTCAAGTAACATTTTTCTTATCACACTGCCTGGCTGATAAACAGAATATTACAAAGCTGCCAAAAACCACATTGGTTTTGGCTGAAAGCAATTATCCCTCTACTATCAACAAAACCAAATAACATCACTGAACTGCTCATGCAAGTTTCCTGGAGTTAAATGTTACTTGAGTCTACAGTTAAATTGTTAATTTATAATCAAAGCATAGTACATTATTTTCATCCAGCACTTTTATTGTGACATTAAATCCTGCCCACCCTCAGCTGAAAGCTGAGATTTTGAGGAAGAGAAAAATCTGTCAAATAAGAAAAATCCAGAAGTCCTCTTTCAATAAAACATTTTTTGTGTAGGCATGGCACAAAATGTTTGATAACAGAGACACTACGGCAGTAAACCACTGTGCTTCTCATAGTGTCCCTAAACCATGGCAGTGAGCACTAAACATTTAATCTATGGGATAACCTCCTACTAGTGAGAAATATGAATCATAATGCAGAAAAAAAGGTGACATTATGCTCCTTAAGGGACTAATGGATATTTGCTTCATTATGTGTCTTACCAAAACACACCACAGCTTTTTCCAGTCACTGAGAGGAAATTCCCCTGGAAACTGTGACATTTATGGAGCAATAATTAGCTCTCCCGCTATTGCACTCCCTTTTAACAATTGCAGGCTACTTGTGTCTCTACCATGCTTTTTACTGGTAAAGTTTCTGATATTAAATCTATAGCACCATAAAAGACATCTGTTTCATGGGGATCCAAAAGATAGGGGACAGCTTTTCATTTCAGTACTGTGGTCTTGTCTAGAAAAAATTTCTTGCAAAGGATTTTGCAAATCCTGTATCTCTGTCACAAAACCTCCTCTACTGTGAACACCACCTTATACAAATGTAGCCTGTATTTCATCAAGTCAGATCATTACTTTGTGATTACCCTCCAGAAATACTTTTTTATTACATTCCTCCAGAGAAATGTCTGTACAATGGCGTTGCATTCAAAAATGGATGTCCTTCTGGTCTTGTCTTCTTTTTTAACTGAAAGTTTCCAGTCTGAGAATGATCTTATTTTATTTTTCTTATTATTATCTATTTTTTTGGTTCATTCTCATCTAGAGCCTATTGCTTTGCCTAAAATCTCCAACTGAAGGACTTTTTAAGTAAATGGAATTGCAGGTTTTGGTACCACAACATAAACCAAATTTAATTACTCTTTAGAAACAAACCAGCAGAGCAGAATCAAGCCCTTTAAAACTAGCATTTTCAGCATAAAGGAAAAAAAAAATGTTGTTTAAATTTTATTCTCTTTTTGCCATTGCACCAGCAGTAATTATGTCCCTTCTATTCCCACAGAGGAGATGCCTAAACGCTTTCTCTGAAATCAGCTTACTGTGTTTTCAGAAGCTAATCCTCTGCAAATAAAGCTAGAGCACAAAGCGACTGGAAAAATAATGCACACAAAGTCTGGACGCAATATTTTCTCCGCCGAGCATCCTTAAGAGGAGAAGAAATAAAATCCCTGACACCCAGAGAAAGAGCGGCAACCCCCCTGGAAGAGTATCGGCATACCTGGCTTTCGTCCCTTCGCTGAGGCTGTGGAAGGCGCAGCTGCACTGCGATGGGCACGAGCCGCCCGCCCATGGCAGCCCTCCGAGCGTTAAGCAGCCGAGCAAAATCACCACGATCCACATGGCTACCTGTACATGGGAAGGACACCTGGGCACTACACAACGTGGAAGGTTTCGCCTATTGTTTTATCCATTGACTGGTCACATCTTGTTAACTCCCTTTTGTTTTCAGCCACACTGTGATCTTCCAGCCCTCGCTGAGTTCATCAGATAAAAAAGGATAGGCAGGGATTAAGGATGGGGACTTGAGTTATTTTCATGAAGGTGCTTATTGCTTCCTGGAACCATACTGACAGCATTTCTTCCCTCAGGGAGCCCCATCAAAACACCCTCTTTGGGCAATCGGTGGCTCTTGTGCAAGAAAAAAGCAAATATACTTTTTGGGGACCTGCATCACGGGCAAGATCATGGTTATCTGACCAGGAATTAGCAATAATTTACTTCCTCACAGGGAACTGGGAATACTTAAAAACAGTTTCTTGTGTTAATGGAACATAAGCCTCCTATGCAAGAATACTAAAAATATATCGTGATACTATTAAAAGGCTTTATTTCTTTTTAAAAACTCCTAGTTTGATCAAGCAATTCTTGAACTGTTGGCAACATGCCTGATATTAATAAACCATGAATAACCCAGTAAATATGCACATATTTCAGTTTATATCAGAGCTAGCACACACCTGCAGGACTGAGCACTGTGCTCTGACTTGCTGATACAGCAAAGCCCAGATGAGGGACCATTTTTGGAAGTGCCACCTGATGCAGGGCCGTGGGACAGCTTCAGGAATGCTAAGAAAAGCTCAGCTCTGTCTTAAGGACAGCCCAGGACACAGTGTCAAATTATTTTTGTTCACTCCCCTTGAAGATAGTTGTTTCCCGTCTATTAGCAAAGGCAGCCATAACTGCAAAGCTGATGGAGACCACCCATGTTTTCAGCAGTCTTCATCTGACTCCAAAGAACACAATACATGTGAGAAAAGTAGAGCCCAAATATGCACAAATATAAAGCTTAAGAAGTTGCTAGTTGACACAGGAACAGAATTCTATTCATACTAGCAAGGACATCTCATGTTTATAAAGACAATTTTTTCTGTTGAGTGTGAAAGTATAGAAATCATTCACACCCCATATGTGCAACACTCTCCTAAAAGTAAAAAGCTTTGGAGAAACTAATAGATGACTACTTTCAACCTGATCAGATTGCTACTCCCCCACTTCCCAGCCATACTGCATTATAGCTTTGGCAGAAAAACTGACCCCTGTGCCAGACACAAAACAGAAAACACAAGTTAAAACTTAACAGAAATGAGGAGTAACTGAATGGAGCTGAACAGCTAGCAATAAAGCACTAACCAGACACTACTCCTTCAGAGCTGCTTTAGCAAAATATTTCTTTTCCAGTTCTGGAGCTCAGGAAAGCCTCAGTGCACAGCAGCGTTACAGGGGAGAGTCCCAGATGTCTCACTCCAGCGTAAAACATGAGCAATTCTACTAAAATCCCAGACCCTGTTAACTCAATAGGAACTCTGCCATCTGCTTCACCCAAAGAAACAGGAGTATGGGATCAAATGTGGCTGATTGAGGCAGAAACAACCTGGCATCCTGTTGGCCTTTCAGCACTGGTCATTTCCCAGCTTCCCTTTTCTTTACCTAAGGTCAGAGAAGAAAGGGAAAGGAATTACAACCACAAAGATTTCTCTAAAAATTAGGTTTTCTTGGATCATAATTATAGTCATACTCATCACAAAAAGTGCCCATCACAGTCTCTTCTGTCACTGAAGATGCCATGGCTCTTCTGTCCACCTCTTGTAGATAACCATCTAAATTCACATTTCCCTAGGAGAGAACTACAGCTCTGCCCGTTTTTTAAACCCTGGTTGAATCTACAGCTGCCCTTCTGCAGAGATGCATAGAAGAATCAATTCGTATGAACTGCCACAAAGCCAAGGAAGAAATACGAACAATCTAGCCCAAAAGACATTTTGAAGGTTATAAGAAAAGACTGAAAAACAAACAAACACACACACCAAAAAAAATATCATAGACCATTCAACATGCCAAGCTTCCACCTGAGAGTGCTATGAAAGACAGACATGTTTTGAAGAACTGCTGTGGATGTTACTTCTCAAAACTCAAATCTCTTCCATACTTGTGCAGCCATCTCAGAACCCTAACAAAAGACTAGTCCAACGTAGCTGTCAAGTTGGACAGGATGTTCCAAAATAAGCGTAACATGGGCAACTTGAGTTGCCTGTTGCTGAGGCTGGTCTCTTTTCCTCTTGGCAACAGAGGGAATTAAGGGAGCCCAGTTCCCCCGCTAAGCTGGATGCAGAAGGCTACAGGGTGTAACTACCCTCACATCTCCACTGCTTCCCCACTGCCCCCTGCCCTGCTGCCCGGGCTGAGGATTCGCCTGTGAGAGGAGGATCCCTATGGGATAAACTGGCTGAAGTAGCTCCACCTCCAGAGTTCACCTCCCACCTCTCCTTTCCAACACTTCTCCCTGTTGGTGACCTGTTGATTTTGCTTTTCCTTTCAAATACGTAATCAGAAGTTACCAGTCAGAAGTGCAGCAATAACATACTCATTCCTAAGTACAAACTACCTGAAAGTTAACAAGTATGTTACAGCAACAGTATAAGGCATTGTTCCTAACAAAGATTGCTTATCAGGATTTCTGGTAAATAGCTGTTTTCATGCAGAATTCATCCTGTGTTCTTCAGTAGAATGAAATTACACTGCCAATTTTTCAATAATTCTGGGTAATGAACTCTCAGAGTTTCAAGGTAATCTAGATGTGGTTTGGGGCTAACTATTAAACAGGCATTTTATGGTGCCATAGTTTCACATAAGCTTGTTTCACAAGTAACTCCGATAATTAATTAAGGCTTGTAGAAATCACTTGCTGAGAGGATGGCCCCAAGGATTCTTTTTCCCCATGCTATTTTTCACATTCTACATTTATTGTTCAAAGAGAAAATCAAGTATCTCATTATTTATTTCTGAAGAGAGAAGAACATGATGCAGCGCTGCTCATTAAATATCCATAGTTGTTCTCTCATTGACTTCCATTAGGTCCCACTTCTAGATTTAATGATTTCTCAGTTCCCTTAATGATCTCCAAGCTAAGACCAAGCTCATCGGGTTTTTTAGTGCACTCATTGGTCAACTTGCCTTGCTGACCAGACTCTGCCTCAGCTCAATACTCGCAACGTTGACCGAAACATCTCTCTCCCCACTGAAGTTAATTTTACTTGAAAAAGCAATTCAATGTAATTAACCTCTTGCATCTATTTTTTTCAATGCATCTGATAAAGCGGTTTCCCTCCATTGGAGCTCTGGAGTAATAAACTTGTAGAAAGTAGACAGTAACTGCATGGTAAGATTTGCTTTCATGAACCTCATTTTTGCATCACAAATGAAACATCTAAGTTACAACTAAATGCTGGGAGCAGTAGAAGTAAACTTAATTTATAAAAAACACCAGCAATCAATAAAGCATGCCTTAGCAGCTGCTAATGCTATGCACTTTGTCAAGAAAGCTGCTATTTAGTTAACGCGACAGACTCACTTCTGAACAAGAAAGAGAAAGACCTGATGGTAGGCTGAGAGATTAATAAAACAATATAAATAAAAGTGGTAACATTAACATGTTTCTCACCTTACAGTGTATCCACAAGTGTGTCAGAGACACGTGGAAAAAAGAGGGAAAAGGACCAGTCAATTAATAACCCAGTTCTGTTTTATCAGCACTTACATTTTTGAGGTTTTCTTCTCCATTGGCTATATTCTCTTACAGTCCTTCACTGGTACATCATCACCAAATGAGGCAAATGCTGGGTTAAGCGTCAAGCCACAGATATACCCATGTTAGGCTTGATCTGAGTGGCCAAGAGAGTGGGACTGGCCTCACCATGAGGAAACTCCACAAGAGGCTCATCAGGAGGTGAGGAAACCAGCTCGGGTAGGCTTTGGACATAAGAAGCTGGAGGAGGAGGAGAAGGAAAAGGAGGAAGGCCTTGGTGCACAGGGAGCAGATGTGTTCCCTTCGTGCACAGGCTTAATAGATGTAACAGAAAGGAGCAGGCAGATGAGAAGAGAGAGGACTGGTAAAGCAAAAGCAATGAGATGCCTAAAAACATACGGGTAGATGCCAGTACTTGCACTTCAGCAACTGCATGACACAAACTGCAAGCACGTGTGAGGCAGCATGGGTGAATGGGCTGCAAGATGATGCTCCTGGTTACATCCATGCTCTCTCCCTAATTCAGTGAGACGGAAGAGAGAAAACTGGAAGCAAAATCTGGCTACTGTGTTCAACAGACTATGTATTCACTTTTACACACAGTTCTGGTTTGTCCTGAAGCATTTGTTTGCAGTGCAACAGCTTTCTAGATCTTCATGGTATTTTTAAGGCTGAAGTGTATTACCTCTTCTCAACTACTGCACAGTTATTCACACATTATGCTACTTAATTTAAAATGAACACTCATTAGCCAATTTCGTTGTAGGTGCAGGTGATATTTTTATAAGAATTTTTAAAATCAGTATCACCTTTTGCAAGTGCCAAAGCTACCAGTGCAAACAGTTTTTTCATGACAGCCAATTCCATTCCATAATGAAACTAGTGGGAGTTAGGCCCTTCACTTCCATGGGCACAATTCTGAACTCTAAATCATAAAAATAGTACTCCTTGCTGCTTACTTAGGAAGTAAACAGTTTCTTCTCTGCATCAAGCTAAAAATATCAGCTGGAGAAAAAAAAACATACAAAGAAGCAGCCAGCAAGTGTCATTCAGCAGAAGTGTAAGAATTTGTTTTGCATTCTCTGAGAATAGCCAGATCCCCTGTTTATATTTTTGATGTAAGTAAATGCAAAGCAAATGGGGTCAAAGTCTACTGTCAGCAAAGTTCAGCACATGGCAATCTTTCCTATCTTTTTTAAGTGGGGTATAATTTAGAGAAAATGTGTTGCTTTGTTTTTAATATGATTCAGTGAATTACTTGACATTACAGTTTCCATTTTTTCCCCATATAGACTTTTTGAACCCAGAAATGTTTCATCAGCAGATTCTACTCACAAGCTCAAAAGCAAAACTTGAGTGACAAATTCAGCA